GTTATGCCTAGGGCTGGCAACCGGTCGGTTTCGGTTTAACCGAGAAACCGAGACCTGACCAGAAGCCACCGTCCACCGACCGACCCCATAGCCCCGGTTAGCCGCAAACCGACAGGGCGGTTTTCGATTCATACGCGGTTTAACCGGGGCAACCGAAATAGTGCTGGGCGGTTCGGTTCAACAGCTTAACCGACCGACATCTCCAATTCCGTCTCTCTACTTCTCCCCAAAATTCCCAATTTCAGTTCATCCCTCTACTTCTTCCCCAAATACCCAGCTTCAACTCTCTGCTTCTCCCAAAATCGCCAGGTCCCAACGAGAGACTGCTCCTTCATCGTCGAAATCGTCGGCCGACCATAGCCAATTGGAGATTCGGCAACCGGGGAGAAGCAGCCCTACCCTCCCTGCGTTCATCGGCAAGAACAGAGGAGGCGGCGGTAGCAGCTCGACCCGAGAGTGACAAATCGGGCGTCTCGGTCACTGACTGAACTCACACCGCGGCAAAGGTGATTGTAGATTTGGTGGATTCGAAGTGGCTTCATCAATCCAGTTCTCCGACTTTCCTCCTTCTTCGTCGGATTCGTGCAGAGAAGGAGAGCGAGAGAGCGGAGGAGAGAGCATAGACAAGGCAGATTCATCTTCTTCTCTGACCTTCTTCCTTCTGGATTCCGTCGAGGTGGAGCCGGTGAGGTGGAACGGCGACGATGGTGGAGGGGGAAGGGATGGTGGAGGTCTGGAACGTCGACGGTGAAGGGGGAAGGGGAAGGGAAAGGGCTGGGCTGCGCGACGATGGTGAAGGGGGAAGGGGTCGGTCGATTTGGGATTTGGGTAATAGGGACCCTGGGACGGCGTCGTTTTTGGTATAGGGAAGGGGGTCGGTTAGCCGGTTAACCGCCGGTTTCCGACCCCGGTTAGTCAGCTAACCGGACCCATGATATTCCCTACCGCCAACCGACCGCGGCCATTGGGATCGGTTTTTCGGCTAGTCGAAAACCGGTCGGTTCGGTTGAAACCGTCCGGTTAGCCGCTAACCGGAAAATCATCCGCCAGCCCTACTTATGCCATGCTTAGGGTGCAAGACGGAGAGGAAAGAATTCATGGGAAGTTAGGGCTTGTCTTAATCACCATTAGTGCAATGGAGGGTATGGAGCACTCGACTATTGAATTCCCAGGCTTTAGTGATGGCGGACACAAGAAGGAGCAACTAGTGGGTGACTGTTTGAAAGAGTCAAGGAGGGAGGATGAAAACAAGTCGAGCTATGTTGTTCAAAAGCCCAAGCGAAGGATGGAGTTGCTTTTGCTAGGAGTTTTTCTCGAGTCCTTGAACGGAATCGGAAGAGTAGGAAGCGCGAGCAACAGTTTAGCTGTTGTGGAAGAAAGTCGAAGTGCAAAATTGACATTCACTACAACCTTGAGGGCAAGGTTGTTCTCAAGCGGTGGAGAATGTTAGAAATATTATTATTAGGGTTTCATTTATTAATAATGGTAGGATAATTATTATTATGATTAGTAGTCTTTTAGTAGAATTAGGTTTATTATTAGGGTTTCTCGAGTCTTTCGTTATAAATATGTGTTGACTTGATATATACACATGTTTTTATCCATCATTCTTATGCCGTTTGAGCCTCATTTCTAGTATCTTAGGCCGATTTCACGCTAGATTGTTCTTGTTTGTGATATTTTAGGTCCTAGTACGTGATTGGAGGTTTGGGAACGAGTTCGGGGTTGATTGGACGAAAGTTGGACGTTTGGCGAGAAGCTGAGGAAACCACACGGCCGTGTGGAATCCCATTACGCGGGCAAGACCACACTGGCCGTTTACTGGGTCCCTTGAGGCCGTGTGGAAATTCCAGGGAAGTCACACGGGCAAGCCAGTTTTCTACACGACCGTGCAGCTCTGGCCGTGTAGTAATCATGGAGGCACTTAATTGAAACATTGCATTTTGGCTCTCGCACGGGCAGACTGGGAATCCACACGGCCGTGTGGTCGCGAAATTTTGGGTTTTAACCCAATTTCGAGCCTAAGGAGAGGGAATTGAGTTTTTGAGGAAAAAAAACAGAGCTTTAGAGAGAGAAAGTGCAAAGAACAAACCCTAGGAGCTATTTGGAGTGGATTTATCACCATTGAAGCCCAGATTGTATCCCCAGGAGTGAAGATCGACATCCCAGAGCAGATTATCCTCACCTTTATGAGTATGACTACTCTGATTTCTGTTTTCCTCTCTCTCTCTATGGAGTAGAGCCCTCTCTCACTTGGGTATGAAGAACCCGAGTTCCATGTATTAGGAATCTTGATTGTAATGACTTGGGATTGATATACTGATAGGTTATAATCGATTGGTGCATGATTCATTGAGTCAATTGAAGTCTGATCACCTTTTCTTGATTTCTGCTGCAACCTGAGATAGATAGAATCTAATTAGGTTGTAAGAGTTTCATCAATCGGTAGTGGTAGATTGGTTATACGAGAGTTAATCGGTTTACTGCTTTGTACTGGAAACCAAACCAAGTAGTGGAGTTTTGTGCTTATTGCCTTTGCAGTCTATCCCCGTGAAGGTTAGTCGTCTACCGGTTAGCCTGCCTGAGAGGACTTGGTCAGCTTAAGAGATTCCAAGCTACTGTCGGATCTTCCGCAGTTTAATCAACAGTTAATCAACCCAGGGTAATAACAACCTTGAACTAACTAAGGATCTAGGGGGACTCATTCCTGAGTGACTCTTCCCTTGCTAAAGAACTTTGAACCATTTCCTGCTTTCTTACTGCTTTTAGTTAAAATCACAATCACTCGACTTAGTTTGCTAGATAATAGATAATCACGGAGTAAGTAGTATATCTAGACCCCGGGTTGACAAATAGAGCTTGCCACTTACTGCATTTCCGAACTGCGATTACACTTGGTCGCAGTTTGGTGTTGTGTTTTAGCGTGTCAAGTTTTTGGCGCCGTTGCCGGGGAACTTCTAGGTTATGCAGTGTCTGTCATCACCATGCTGCGCGGCTCGGTGGTGTTCCATGGCAAGGAGGGGGAGTGCCCCCGATCACACCTGAGGCGATTCCACGAGCTCATCGATGGGATCAAGATCAATGGGGTTCCAACCGATGTCATCCAATTGAGGTACTTCCCATTTACTCTAGAGGGGCAAGCCAAGGAGTGGCTGGACACTCGACCTCCAGGCTCGATCACCACGTTCGCCAACTTGGCGAACAAGTTCCTCACCCGCTATCATCCTCCGTCCAAGACGGCGGACCTGTAGAAGCGAATCACCCACTTTGCTAAGGATGAAGATGAGACCATCCGGGATGCTTGGGAAAGATACACCAGTCTTTTCCTCAAGTGTCCCAACCATGGTTTTACTGACGCCTTCAAGGTGGGCACCTTCTACCATGCCCTCTTCTCGGATGACAAGCAGTTGATTGACTCAGTTTGCGGCGGGAATATGCTCACCAAGATACCGCCACAGCTGAATCAACTTTTTGAAGAGATGGCAGAGCAGGGATATGATTGGGGAACTGCGAGGAGATCGAGACGAGCGCCAGGGTGGGGTGTGCATGATGTAGCCACCCAGTCGTCTGATTTGGTGCAGGTGGTATCTAAACTGGTTTCAGCCATCGATCGTTTGGGAATGATCCCAGGGGCAGGACAGCAGCAGGCGATGCATTGTTAGTGGTGCGAGAAACCCCATCATACTGTGGAGGACTGCCAGGCCATGCGTGAGTCCAGTACACCCCAGTAGCAGGTGAAATTCATCAACAATGCCAGGCGCAACGATCCTTATAGTAATACCTACAATGAGGGATGGCGCCAGCATCCAAATTTCTCCTGGAGTGGCAACAAAAATCCAAAGCCACCTGGCTTCCAGGCTCCTGCAACTAGTTTTCCAAACCAGAGGCAGCCATACCAGCCTCTCCCGGGCCAGATGCAGCAATAGCAACCACTTTATCAGCACAGACATGGACAGGTTTTTCAATAGCCCCCACAGCAGCAATACCAGCAGCCTGGTGCATCTCCATCAGTCCCAGCACCGGGCAATCCCGTGTCAGAACTGAGGGATCTAGTGACTACCTTGGCCAGCACTAGTACCCAAAAGTTCAATAAATTGGAGCAATTCATGGAAGTGGCTGCAGGAAAATTCATGGAGATTGAGGTTGGCCAGAGACACCAGCAGGCACTCTTGTAGGATATGGACACCAAGATCGGGCACCTGGCAGATGCCCTTGCTTCCAGACCGGCTGGCATGCTTCCTGGCCAACCCCTTCCAAATCCCAGAAATCATAAGGAGGGTTTGCACGCCATTATGTTAAGAAGTGGGAATGTAACTGCGGATGCACCGTAGAAGAGTGCCAAGACGGTGACCCAAATCACTCCAGAGCCGGAAGAAGACATGGTGATGGAAAAGGAGCCAGAGGCTCAAGCTCTAAAGCCACAACCAGTAGTGGCTGAATATAAGCCTAAGCTCCCTTTTCCCACCAGGATGTACAAAGACATGCTAGAGGCAGAGTTCGGCAACTTCTCGTCCATGCTTAGGAAGCTAAATGTTCAAGTGCCCTTCATGGAGGCACTATCTCAGATGCCTAAGTATGCAAAGTTCCCGAAGGAGCTTCTCTCGAAGAAGCGGAGGCTGAGCGAGCTGGCCACTGTGGAGCTCAGTGAGGATTGCTCGGCCATTCTGCAGAACAAGCTTCCGCCGAAGCAGAAGGACCCATGTAGTTTTACTATCCCATGCTCTATTGGTACCTTGCATGTAGAGAGGTCCTTGGAGGATCTAGGTGATAGTATTAATGTGATACCATATACATAGTTCAAGAAACTAGGCCTAGGTGAACCCAGTGCAACAAGGATGAGTATTCAATTAGCTTACCGATCTGTAGTCCATCCTAGGGGCATAGTGGAAGACCTTCTGGTTAAGGTGGGCATATTCTTTTTTCCTGTAGATTTTGTTGTCTTGAACATCAATGAAGACGCAGAAGTGCCCCTCACAAGACTAATCGAATACACGTCTAGCTTAGACGAGATCACAACATTTTGCATACATGCTCACTAGCAGATTGTCAATAGCATCTTCACTCTCACATCTGGTTTTGATTATTAGAGAATGGACCGTCGAAGCTACCAACAGGTCGCCATGCTGGCTACAAGCTGATATGATTGCGAAGAAAGATACATAATCCAGGCTTATGGTTTTCCTCCTCATCTGGTTAAACACAGAGAAAGCTTCTTTCATGTGTCCAGCTTCCACATAACCGCTAGTCACTGTTGTCCAAGAGATGGCCGACGGTTCTTGCATCTGCTCAAGGATTGCACGAGATTCATGAGTTTGACAGTGTTTGACGAGCATACCCATCACAGAATTAGTTGGAGGCACCTCATCGTCACCATTCAGGAACCCCATTTTGAAGGCACAACACTGGGTTGATAAGCCCTGCAGAAGGGAGCTACAAGCAGGAAACAACACAAGGAAAGTGGTCAAACTTGGTTCCAGACCAAGAGCCCTCATTTGGTTTATCACAAAAACGGCTTCATCAACGAGAGAAAAATGGCAATAAGCAGTGATCATGGAGGTCCAAGACACAACGCCTCTCTCAGACATTTCGTCGAACACCTTCCTCGAAGAAACCAAGTTGCCGCACTTGGAGTACATATCGAGGAGAGATGTCTGCACGTAGACGTCTACCTGGAAACCCAGATGGGTAATATGGGAATGAAGCATTTTCCCGACGTGGATGGTGTCGGGGGAAGAAGAACATGCTTTAAGGACCATCGGGTAAGTAAAGTTACTACCACCACCTACCCTAGATTGCAGGATGGAATTGTAGAGATCGAGAGTTTGTTTGTAAAGGCCATGATTTGTGGTGTCCCGTATATTCAAATTCCACAGATACAGCGACCTTCTGGAGCTGAAAGACGACAACTTTCTCATCTTCGTCTATATTCCCGTCTCCAGCATGGCGCATAAAACTAGAAAATTCGGGAACCAACCTACAAAGACTCCAACTTTTCACAAAACAAAATCTACAACTTGGGTTTTATTACTGATAATGGATTCAAATTCCGCACAGAGCATTACAAGTTGCTTCTGATCACACCCAACTCAGAATGGAATCCAATACAAAGTGAAGAAACAGAAAGGCACAGGTACAAAGATTTTATATGCATCCTCTTGGTACTTGGCAGCTACAGGGTTGTTACTTTTGAATGATGATATACATTTTGCAGGCATGGGGATCCAAGTCCGCCGAGATTTGTTCCTTCACCTTTGCTTCGGTGGTGTGCTGCAGTACAAGAAATTAAGAACAAGTCATCAGCAAATCAAATCAAATCAATTCAATTCCACAGTCAAATTAGTTCATGAAGAACAGAAGAAACAATTTTATCTCTTCTCTCACCGCCCATAAATCTCTGACATCCACAAGGGCGAAGGGAGGGACGCCAATATCAGAGAAGTTAGCAGCGACTTTAGCTGGGGAAGAACCCCTGTTCCAAAGCACTACTGCCACTCTCTTTTGGCTGAGAGGACCAGCCCACACCTCCAAGTCTCCATCTTTCTTAACCTTCTTCCCCTGCACTCCAAGTTTGTCTGAAAAGAACCATCCCATTTTCAGCACAACTTGTCGGATTACAGCCATGGTGTTTGTAGATCATCATCATATACGTTGATATTACCTTGGTTCACTGCAATCACTTCACTGTTGCTCAAAATTTGGTGGGTGTCGAGGTCCATCGATCGAATGTCGCACCCGAGTATGAGAGGAGCCTTGGCTAATGCCCAGATGCTGAAATGTGACCTGTACTCCTCATTCGTCATGCCGCCATTCCCAACTTCAAGCATGTCAGGATCTACCCACGGAGTAAAAGACATTGGAAATGTTCAAACGAACGAATAAGTCTCTGCCTTTGATAGTGAAAAAGTGAAATAGTTACGAGCGTTATGCTGAGTGTACCGTTCCATCCTCCAGGTCCAGCATAAGATGCCCATTTATCGTTTTTATCTGCACGTTTTGTCATTCTGGGGAATACAAAGCAAAATAAGGATCATTATCGGCCTAACAATTTTCGCTTTAAGGTAGGACTATGGCGCGACTTCGTGGGAAGGATACCTCTCCCAGTTATCAGCAATATCCCCAGTTGTTCTCCAGCTATTACCAACACCGGGACCCCAAGTTGCAGGGTCTTCAACTCCCCTGCCAACAACAAACACATTGACAGTAGTCCAACATTGAATCTGGAAGAAGAAGAAGAAGAGGGGGAAAAGGATGTCGTACCATTCACAGAGGGAAAAGAAGATGGGTCTTCCTGTCTTCAACAATGCTTTACTCATTATCGGATACCTCACTTGAGGGCTTGTGCCATCAGTATGGCAATTATCATATTTCAGAAAATCGATTTCCTGCAGAAGAAGAAAATGACCAAACACAGTTCAAGATAATCTTAATTCCATTTGTAGAGAAGTGAATTAGAGATCATGTTGCATATAGTATGATAATGGATACCCATGAGGCAAATGTTTTGGCATCTTGTTCCTCATAGCCCAATGATCCTGGTTGTAGCTTGCTGCATGTCAGATTCCTGCAACAACTCAAAAGATTACTCCTACATTATTATCCGATGCATCAAGTCGAAATAGAATTCGAACGGAGAAAAATGGTGATTTCTCTTACCCTGCATCAGAGTAGATTCCCAGCTTGAGGCCTTTGGCATGAACATAATCCGCCAACCCTTTGATTCCAGCAGGAAATGTTGTTGCATTAGCAACCAAGTTTCCCGCAGAGTCCCTCTGACGTTCAGCCCACGCATCATCTTCCAATGCATTCCATCAAAGAAGAGAGACAGGGAAAGAGAAATTTAGGAGATGAAAAGAAAAACAAAGGCGCAGGGCAATGCCGCCTTCAATGGCGTAGTTTTACAACAGAGTCATGTTTGAGGAAGATAGATATATGCAGCACCTAAGTTGATGTATTGATATCCCAATGCAGCAAGTCCAGATGAAACCATGGCGTCCGCTTCAAACACAAATTAGAAAGTGATATACTAGTGTTAGTCACACTTGACTGTAGACATGCATCAAGAAATTGTATATTAGCTCTATGAATGAAGAAAACTCAATTGGTTTTGTTTTAGCTATGGTTTCACAAATCTATAACCTCAATATACTCCTTGTTTACGAGAAAATATTATTTTAATTAAATTAAATCTTGTGTAGAATCTTCATATTTATTTAGTAATAATATATCGTATCAAGTTGGCCAAACTAAGATCTAAGACTTGAACCTGTGTCAGTATATATATGAAACAAAGTTCCTTCGCACGGACATCTGATAAAATTAAAAAAAATAACTAGCAAATACTTAGTTTATATTATATATATGAAATGATTAGAGGAGAAAAAGAAAACCTGTTTCTCTTATGATCTTCTCTGAAATTGTCCAGTGGAAATGGTTATAAGTATTCCACCTGTTTAGACACCAGCATATAAGCAAAGGTGATGAACATATATTATTTTGCCGTGTAAAATCATATCATAATTTTATAATAAGTAAACAAATTAAAGGACCATAAGTAGGTGATAATTGACAAAACACACCAAAGAGTTATCAATATGAATTCTTGTCGGATTCATCACAAAAAATGAACATATATAGTTTATGTTAGATTTTCTATCAAGACTTCAAGAGTATCCATTCTAAGATCCTCAAACCAAAGGAGGAAGAAAAAAAAAAGTGAACTTGAACTAGTTCCGAACTTAACGTTCTCAAATAGTTCAGTCATAGTCCTTATAAAAATAAGAGTAAAAACATATTCATACATTATTAATCGTTCGCTCATGGATCAAATAAACTAGTCAAGAAAGGACTGAAAAAATATAAGAACGATCCTCATATATATATGCATACCCCATTGGCGGTGTTAGACCCAATCCATTGGCCAAAAGATTCCTCCGATCCAAACCAAAGTGGGCGGCGGCACCTCGACCCGCCGCTTCAACACCGCCGGCGCTTAACAACTCCACGGTGGCGTAGATTTGAACCAACATCGCTAAAGCCACCATCATAGCGTGAGGAGGAGCCATATCGGTTGTTATATTAATTGGAATATATATATAGGATACGTTTTATATTTATAACTGAGAGAGCTAGCTAGCTAGGTGGAAGAGTGGAAAATGGGGAACTGGGTATTTATAGAGTAAGCATGCAGAACCTCGATCGAGCTCTATTCTCTGACCAGAGTAGGCCGGCAGCATATATTGTTGCAGACTTCTCAGCTGTTCGATTTCTCCTATAATTCAATCCCCTTTTGGATTTTGTAACTATCATTACTTAATTAACCAAAACAAGGTGCACTTGGGTGTTGACGAACAACCTCCCAGCACATGAAAACAAAAGGAACAATGTTTTTCTAATGTTTTTTTTTGGGGTGATAGATAATGGTGAGATTATTATGATTAAGATAACGTTTCTAATTTATGTCTTACTCATTTATGTCACCATTTTAATCTAAAATGCAAAAAAATTCAATTTATAAGATTGTTTGGAAAAATATCACTTGCCCAATAAAATTGATAATATAATTTTCTCACATAGTGGATTGGAGACGTCAGAACACTTCCTTTCTCTATTGTCATTTTCTGGGAGAAAAATGATTCTTCACATCGGCCATGGACTGTTGTAAGAGATTATGTGAGTGTAGGTATTGGCCGGCTAATCATGTCATAAATCCAAGTAAATTAATTGATAAACAAGTATCAAGTAGTAGGGATACTTCTCACTTCTATTTCGTTTTCTTTCACATCTCTTCTATCATTTAGGGGTGGGCAACGGGACGGGACCGGGTACCCGTCCCATTTGAAACGGGTACCCGTTCCCATTTGGAGAGAAAACTACTTCCCATGTTTCAAACCCGTACGGATTAACGGGTACCCAATACCCGTACGGGACGGATAACGGGTACCCGCGGGTAACCCATATTAGCGGTTCTTGTGCTAACAATTAGTACAAGGAAGAAAAAGAGAATGGGAGATTGCTTGGTAGCCAAGTCGTATGGTAGGACATTAATAAGATACACGTGATGAAATATTATAATTTATTCCCTTAATTAATCAATTTCTACAACCCTGAAAATCAACTGATCCTAGTTTGATTATTTGTTTCCAGAACTGCAACGTACACAACATATAGTTATGTAACTTTGTTGACATTTTGTGTTGGTGGCCGACTCCTACTTCTCGCAGAAATTTTCATCTTTTTATAAATATGACATCATCTCATTAAGGCTGAAAATAACAAGCAATAAAAAGTAGGAGAAAGTTCATGGAAGGCGCTCTTAAAAAAATAGAAAACATTAAGCCAACAGTAGCTACATCATGCTAGGTTGATATTCGTTGTTTTCAAACTAAGGGATCAAGTGCGACTTGAGCCAAAGCAGCTACTCAGCAGTCCCCCTGTAACCTTATGTACGCCTCAACTCCTTTCATTAATCCTTAAAGTTCAATTAGTTGAATTACTTAGCTATCATCTAAATAAAAGGACAATTTTAGTGGTTGGACGGGTAATACGGGTAGCCGTAATACCCAAACGGGTATTAACGGGTAACTCGCGGGTGCCCATTATAGAACTTATTGATTCCAAGTCCTATCCCGTATAAAAAATTATGGGTATTTGGGTACCCATAACCCAAAAAAAAAGGGACAATATGGGTATACCCAAATACCCGTTTTCCGTTGCCCACCCCTACTATCATTCAGTAAATTAGCGGGAAATCCTATACGTTTTGGCGTCGGCACTCTGTAGCTAAATTTTCTAATGCAACTACGGTTTTGTGCTCGCGACGGTCAATGCGCATAACTTCTGCATCTATCCACAATCTACATCTTGTACGACTCTTATATACTAGAGTTTTAAGATTTTGATTATCCTCGTTTTAAATATGAAGCTCTAGAAGCGATCTAGGATAGGTATTTGGAGCTAGGGCTGCAAACGAGCCGAGTCGAGTTTTTGCTTAGCTTGAGCTCGGCTCGTTTATAAATTTTTTAGCTGGAGCTCGGCTCGAACTCGAATTTTCATCATCCAGCTCGAGCTCGAGCTTGACTCGATTAAAAATAATCCAGCTCGAGCTCGGCTCGATAAAGCTCGGTAAATGCTCATTAACACAGCTTGTCAAGCTGAGTACAAACTCGGCTCAAGATAAACTCGATTTGAAACCATTCTTGCTGAAAAATGTGTACAAATAAGAACATTAAAAATTAAAAATGATAAAAATAATACTAAAAACTAAAAATAACATCTAACTTCCATACACATCCTTATTAACAAGATAATTTTCATGTTCAGAAAAGTAATTAATCCTTCCACAAGCTTTAAACAAGCCAGCTTGCGAGCTTAGCCCAACAAGCCACCGAGTCAAGCTAGCTCACGAGCTTATCAACTCGAGCATGGCCTAGCTCAAACTTGGCTCGTTTACTAACGAGCCAGCTCGCGAGCCGGCTTGTTAAACAACGAGTCGAGTGTCGAACGAGTTTTTTCCGATTCGAACGCCGAGTTGCTCACGAGCGGCTTGGCTCATTTACAGCCCTATTTGGAGCGAACATAAAATAGTTTATATTTTTCAACTTTTTGAAATAAGCAAATTGAAATTAACAATAATATCCATTTTGGTATATTTTGAAATGAACAAATTGTAATTATCATATAACTACGCACGGCACATGCAAGTGATTTTGTGTTACCATTTTAGTAGATGACTATAACATCATGCAGATCTACTTAAAAGAATTGATAAGTGATAGTCAGTTTGACTAGTCACGCTCGCTTAATTGTTATTTGATTAACTTGACTAGTTGGTTTGATTCCATAAAAAAATGGGTTAATACCACTAGGAAACCCGAACTATCAACAATGTGTCATTTGTGTCCCGAACTATTCGATATGATATTTGTGTCATGATGTATGATTGTTGTGTGTCATTTATGTCCTAGCAATTTTGTTGACCGTTAAAGATAACGGTTGACCTAACGATCATCAGTGAAATGTTGACCTTTGGTTACGTGGCACATATGTGGAGGCCACGTCAGCTGACACATCAGACTATTTATAATTTTCTTTTTAAAAGTAAAAAAAATTCTTAACAAAAATCTTTTTTCCCTAGCACTTCCACCGTCCTCCACCGAATCAGACCCTTCGAATCCAGCGTTGAATACGGGCGGCGACTGTGTTGAAGAGACGCGAGTAAGATGGAAATGAGGCTCCCATCAGTGCCTTCTTCATCGGGCCATAAGTCATCGGGTCGTCTTCAATCACGTCGGCGATGAAGTGGATCTGCGCCTGATAAGCATCCAACTCCCCGCCGACCCCATTCATCCTCTAACAGTAGCCTCATCAATCCCCTTCTTCTCATAACTCTCGACCTGGTTAGAGGAAGGGGAATGGTGTCTTTCACTCTCTTCTCTTTTCTCAACATGATGAGGGGAAGGGGAATGGTAGTTTCACTGCATCGTCTCCACAATACCTCAAAATCTAACTTCAAAGTCGCAGGGGATTCCTTCGATTTTGTGGGTTCAATCTATTTCGTCGATTTCACTTGTAGAGCGTTTGATGACTGTGGATTGTGACGGCGGCGCTCCATGGTTGTGACCGGAATCGAGGGAAACTCCAAACTTGGTCGCTATGTGTGACAGCCTGTTTGGATTGACAAAAAAGTAAGGAATTGGAATTCCATTTCCAATTCCAATTCCATATATTATGTTTGGAATAATAAAAAGGTTGAGAATTGAATTCCAATGGGTCTAAAATATGGGAATTACAATTTCTATCAAAAGTGATAGGAATTGAGAGAACGAAGATGGAATTAGTGGGACCCATCAATACTTTTTATTATTTTGTTGACCCACTATCATTTTACTCTCTTTCTCTCTCATTCATATTTCATTTCCCAAAATAAAACAAACATATTACATTATTCATTATGGTTAAAAGTGCAATTCATTTCCATAGTTGTAGGAA